TATCGTGGGCCTCCCGTGAAAGTTGCACTCAGTATGACTCGGCGACCCGGAGGCCCATCGCAATCGTTATCACCGAGCATGTAATCTTGGAGGCCGCGCACGGTGTCGAGTCTCAGATTGTGCTGGTTGTGGCGGACGAAGTTTAGACGGTTCATTTCTATTTTGAGCCAGCTATCGACCATGAATTGTTGCAGAAGTTTTCCAGCAAAGTGCAATGGATTGAAGATTTGATGTCGGGTGAACAGTAGGTATGAATAGTATTCCTTTTGCGTTATTCTATTTCGTCTGGGCGACGTTGAATTCCGCCGTTGCATTTCTGGATGCCACCCATCTTCTCCAGTCGGAAACAGCAGTGGGTAAGTGAGAGGATCGCACAGTTTATCCAAATAACTGATAAGACGAAGGTTGCCGCTGTTCTCGTGAATCATAAGGAATCGATCCCCCGGGATGACATCTTCGTCCCCCACATATACGATGGCAACCTCATTGGCAGAAGCGGCATTGTATCTTCGTTGATCGTCAGTGGAGCTCTGATTGAATACCATACGCACGGGCCGAGAATCGCGACCTTCTGATCGAGCATTGCGGGCTTCATCTTCCACAACCTGTGACATGAGTCGCAAAGCTCGGACGTATGGATTGGACTCTTTCAAGACATTGTGTAAGGAGGCGAATATGTTCTTCTGGCAACTTTGATTCACAGTCCGTCCAGCGAGTTCTTCAGCAGCCGCTCCCGTGTCCATGATTAGAACTTGAGCGCATTGGGCTTGCTGACCTGTCGGCGGTCGAAGTCCTCCGATTGTGTGATAAACTTGACCGTGCACTCGGAAACAATATGGACCAAAACCTTGAGGTATATCCACATGAGCAGCCATTGATGCCATGGCAAGGGCGTTGTTGTAATTCCGTATGTGTAGGCGGAAGTTCTTCGAGTCTCCGTCCTGACCGGTGAAAAGATCGCGTAGAAGTGTGGGAAATTCTCGGAACGGATTGAGGGAGACTTTATCCGACCCAGTGGACACTGATAATTTCTAGCTATGCCTTCTGTGCTTCGTAGACGTTGTGCGACGCTAATAACGTGGATCTGTCTATGATGTGCTGCATCGCCTATGCGTCTGCTTTCAAGTTCGGCAGGGGATAAGCTGGATCGCGTCTCTCTATGTTGCGCAGAGTTAACAGCACGCTGTGCCGCGAGCTGTGTGAGCGAATACCTTTCTCGCGCCCGCCTATGTTGTTGCAGATTGGCGAAGCGCACTATCGCCGCTTCTGTTTTAGTTCGGTTGCTCCGAGCTAGACGCTGCTGGCGAGCATCAGTGGTTCGCGCGGCAGCATCTTGGTCTTCTGTGCGTTGTGCTCTACTTATTCGCATGCGATCTCTTGCTAGCCGCCGACGTCGCTCTTCCCTCACTCGCGTCACTCTAAGTTTAGGCATAATGGATTTGTCGCGGCAGGCTCTCTGATTGAGCTCCAATCGGAGACGCACTTCGTTGCTGATCCGCTTAGAGGCAAAGCAAAAAGTTTCTCAAGGTGACGAAGACCGCCATGAAAATATGGCTGTGGACGACAAAGATGTCCAGGTTTCTGGGAGATTTCTCGAAGCCTGTATGCATTTCAAGTATGGGATTAAATAGTTTTGAAGAAGGGGTTGTTTCGAATCGTTTGGCTGAAAAAAGTGGCAGCATACGTGAGGCAATCGCTGTATAGGACGCGAACTGACGGACGGACAGTGACTGTAGCTTTATTATATGGGGGGGGATATACATGGGAAGGAAGGGAAGGAACCCCTTAGATCAAGTGTATAGTAAGATTACCCTTGGTGATTACCTGGCTCTCTCTGGGAGTGTGTGTTGCGATCTGTGATGTGATTGGAATAGAGTGTAATATGGTCGGAATAGTGTGGTGGGAGTAATTAATGGTTGATGATGACGCAACGGACCTGGTCCTGTTCGTGACATATATCTTCTCGTTTGCGGCGAGAACGGTGTTTGAGAGACCTCAGCGGATTGGTCCTCTATCGTCTGCTGCGGACGACCTGGCGACGGCTGTCGTTTTCCGAACGCTCCCCCTTCTTCAAGGAGTCGAGATGTCTCCGAATGGTTGGAGAACATCCTGAATATGCTGCTACATACTCGTGGGGTCCGTTTGCTGAGCTGACCGCTCATCATCGAGCTGAGACCGCCGCTGGATCCTCGGGATTCCACGCGCCCCCCCTCCCGCCGAGCGAGCAAAACGAGCCCGTCACCGAAGACATAGGAGAGAACGCTGAAGACGCGAATGGGGATGAGGACGAGACCCCGACGACCGCCGATAATGATCGCGAGGAAGAAGATGACGTTTCCGTGCCCGGTCCCTCGAAATCCGCTCGAGCGATCGCTGGAGACGACGATTTCTCCGGTCCGCCTCCTCGTCATTGTCGCGTGAGGACTCGTTTACGTTCACGAGTTTTTATTCCTCGATATATGCGTGATCGACGTAGCGGCCCTTAGAGCTGTGGTTCGAAGGATCTCATGAAACGACAATTTAGCGAGTTGTCGTAGGCTGTTGACCGTGATGTCAAAATCGATATCAGCGAGTGTGAAGAATCCGACGAAGAGGTCGAAGTAAACATCGCGGGAGCCAGCAAGTCGTGGAGTTTCGGAGAAAGGCCAACTGAATTCCGGAGAAAGGCCAACTTTGCGGCGAATTTCGGAGAAAGGCCAACTTTGCGGCGAATTTCGGAGAAAGGCCAACTTTGCGGCGAATTTCGGAGAAAGGCCAACTTTGCGGAAGGCGCTTCGTGTCCAGAGCTGGTTTCATACATGCTCAGGGGCTCGAAGGAGTGGAGGTCGGTGGCTGGCCACGCATGGGCAATAATCGCCCGGACGGACCGCATACACGATGAATGGCGACTCGCGCAGACGGCCGCCCCAACTCTAGGTGACGCGCGGCCAGCCGCTCAATGAATAATCTCGTTTTTACTGTTTTGTGCGTGAAGAAACAGGGTCGTCATCGCCGCGTTTTGGCCTTCTCTCGACAAAAAGGGCCACCTCCCCTCATCGTCGCTGGGCATCGCCCTCAGCAAACTGAACAATCGCGTTTTTCACTGTTTTGTGCGTGAAGAAACAGGGACGTCAGCATCCATAGGGGGGGAGCTGAAGTAATGGCCACCAGGCCGGTCCCAGCTCCTTTCCGCCCTCCCCCCAGAAGGTTTACAGAGGATAAGGATGGAAGGAGGATATTCACCGCTAGGTGCTAGTCCTACACTGCCGGTCCCCAAGAACGTAGACATCAACTCGGCCCGTGCGTGCGTAAACGAATTCTCCCTAACCTCCATGAAAAAAAAAAAACTCGTCCCTGAGTAGGAGCGACGACGACAAGGATGGCTCCAGCCGAGTTCCGACCTGTAAGTTTATGACCGACATTACCTAGCATTGTTATATCTATGGTGGGTAGATATACATGGGTATGGAGAAATCCTTAATGAAGCGGGTCGGGATTCTCTATATCCAGTGGATACAACAGCTGGATTGGTCTGACCAGAGTTTGACCACGACCGGTGAGAATGGTGCATGAGCGTTTCCTGGAGTCTGACTCCTTCCCTCCGTGCATCTTCAGAACTCGAACTAGCGGCCAGTAACCGCGGGACGTATTTCCCTCTTTGAGGATGCAGATCTCGCCCGTCTCTAGCGATCTTTGATCCACCGGTTTTCTGCTATGTGCTGAACGAAGGAATGCCACGTATTTGTTTGGAATCTCTTCCAGAAATCGGTCAGGACACTTCGTTGGAAGTTCCACCGCTTCGAGAAAACCACGCTCCGACCATCCTCTCCCAGACGCCGCCAACCCAGGGAGCTACCGGTGTTATGAAGGTCCAGGTAACGCGAGAATTCCTGAGCCAGCCTGCTAAGTCCCCATCGGCAATGTGTTTGTACACAAGTCTGATCTCTCTATCCGCCCTTCTGAACGAGGCTCCATTGTCCGAGACGAATGTTGGGCCGTCGGTCTTCTGGCCAGGAACTTTTGTAGTGCCCTGCGTTCGTTATCGAGTTCGTTCCATGGTTTGAGGTAGACACGCGAGCTCGACGGCAATTGCAAGCTTATCTGGCGTCGATGGATGAGTTGGAATTATCCTATCACCCAGTCGGTTTCTGGACCAACATTACTTCTCGATACCCAATTCTGGCGAGAATAGCTCTCAACTGCTTGAGTGTCCCTGAGAAAACTGTGGCTGCAGAGCGATCTTTCAGCCAATACTCTGATGTTCTCCGGGACGATCGCCGGTCAATCAAAAATGATAATTTGTCCATGTGCAATCTTTTGTACCAGAACGCCGGGAAGTTCTAAGATGTTCATGAGGAAGGTCCTCCCCAGAAGCACAGGAGTAGCGGTCCCCTGCTGTGCGCAAGACTTATAGTTGAATGTGATTCTTGTTGGGTTCGTATGCGGCTAAGAAGGCCACACGGAGATGCGACTACACAGCTCAGCGATCAGTGATCAAGTGACGTGGCGTCTGCGCGCCCCGTCTATTTATTGAGACTATCTTAGCAATAACGAAGTTGGGAATAGCGAGTCCACAGTCCCAACATTTCTCCCCTTTCAGCCGCCTCGCACCTATCTTTGAGGAGTTGATTCTTTGTCCTTCTTGCACGAGCGTGGCAATTGGAGTCGTCGGACGGGAGCGGTCGTGGTGACCGGCGGGCTGCGTATCTCTGGTCGCGAAGCCGACTCGGATGCTTGCGCTGGACCGAACTCCGACTCTACGTCTGAAGAGTCCTCAGGAGACTCCGGAACAGCTCGTCGCCATACCTGATTCCGGTGGCGAATGATAGTTTTGCCCTGTACGATCAAACGCAGCATCGCCCGGCCGATGAGTCCAGCAATTCTCGCGGAACACCGACTCCCATTCGCCAGTTTCACGGAGACAGTCTCCACCTTCACGAAATGGCGGTCGGTGACTCCGTTCCTCCGGTCGAAGTTCGACTTGTATTCCTGTTGATATCCAGTCAGAGTTTGCGGAGTAGATCTGGTGGGCTTAAACGCGTCGAATGGAGTTCGGAGTGTTCACAATCTAATAAAGATTGTATTCTTCTCACGCCAAGTCCCTCTTTGACACCATTCCAGGTGTTTTCAGGTTATTCAATGGCCAGTCGTTGATCTGCGGTTTCCTAGCAATCGCCTAATCTTACAGATTCTCTTGTCGGCTCCCTAGGGTTTCGGAGAGTCAACAGAGACAGCTCTCGTTCATGAGAGCGCAATCGCGGCGGCGGCACTTGTTTCGCGCGAGTAGATCGATTTAGATTCAGTTAGTGCATATCCAAATCGCGAGCAGCAATGGTGCCCCCACTGAAGCGTTTTTCAAGCTCGGCCGACATGGCTGGATTCGTAGTGGTAACGCTGCTCTTCCTAGGGGCTCTGTTCAGCAAGTTATTTTCTGGGATTCACGAAAAGTTACTGAGCATCAGTGTGGCTCACAGATAGGGTTACAGAAAATTTTCCATTCTTTCTCAGCGATTCACTTTGGCTATTTCGAGCCGAGTGAGCTTCACATAACGAGCCTAGCGAAGCGCTCACATTCGGAAGCAAATTCAGGACTCATTCAGCTTCCAAATTCAACGGTTAAGGACCGTGTGGTGGAGTCCTCCGAGGTTCCCATCGTTCAATCCACCACTCCAAACAGCTTCGTCGTTCCAGCGACTCTCGCGCCTGTCTCTACTTCCGCGACATCCACTACTACTACGACATCCAAACCGGTGTTTCGATCCTCCGGACTGACGGTTTCTCCTTTCTACAAACGTCATCCGTATCAGCCCAGTTCGGCTGAGTCCGGATATCCATCTCGACATGTGGTGGTGCAGGAGTACCGAAGATCTACCACAACGTCTCCCCCGAGGATGGATTTCAGCTATCGACGAGAGTGGCAGCGAATCGTTTCTACCGAGATGCCGATCTCTGGCAGAGCTTTGCATATTCGCACTGCTACAGCTCATCCTTCTAGAGCTTCTTCAAGTTACGATAAGGCCATCATCTTCTGATCGGACCACTCGGGCTACTAAGGCCACTCCTTCTTCTCGGTCTTCAACTGTTCGATCATCTTCTACAACCATTACCGGTAAACCAGTGTTGAGTAGTACGAGCACCCTCAAACCTTCTTCAACCACCAATTCAATCACTCCAGCAAGTGTTATTGTTACGACATCGACCGATACTGTTTACCCGATACCCAGCACTACAGTTTCAAATTCCTTTGAGATAGACTTCAGATGGCATTCATGCATCTGGCTAGAAGAGGTGCGATTATGTAAGCTGACGTGAGTCGAGACCAGAACTGTGTAGTCGTCGACTTTCACCATGCGATCGGGGATCGAATGACGGTGACAAGCTTCTCTCGAGCAACCTCCTATGCCAGTGTCGCCGATCTGATGGGGATAGCCAAAGACTGCCGAGATTACACGATCTACAAGGTGGTCGGATAAATTTTCTTTCTCGCGTCAGTGAGGGAACAAAGTAAACGTGCGCTTATTGTGGGAATGGTGAATAGGTATATCAGTTCCAATTGGAGTTCGTCAACAGTTTCTCTGTATGGCTGGTTATGGCGTTCAGATGTGGGAGATTCTGGCACGGTCCCATAATTGCGTGTGACGCGCTCAAAAACGAAGCGCTTGAGAGCGTATGAGCCGTAAGCCAGGATGATGAGGGAGGATCCGATGCAGGAGCCGATCAGCGGCTTTATCCATCTGCAGGGATATGCTGGAGTTGGTGACGCGGGAGGCGGAGTTGGTTTCGGCGGATGTACGTGTTTTTCGTAGGCATCCCAGATGTTCTCGCCGCCCTTGGGAGGTTTCCCAGGTCTGAGACAGACCGTGTCACGCGCTGCCAGGCGTAGGCAGCTGGCCTCGAGGTCCGGACAATCGCAAGCAAAATTGTCGGGATTCGTTTCTGTGACGGTGCATGACCGGTTCTCTTTCCTACAATCGGGCTCGCAGTCCACCGAGTAGTTGGAATAGCCGAGACCGGAGTCTACAAGGCTAATCACGAGGAGGGCTACCAGGAGTCTTGTCTTAGTAGAACGTAGTAAAACCTCACCTCTACGTGTTTCGCGTTCTTAAATTGTTGCGAATATTCGGTCAGTCGAGTCGTGGCCTCGTTGTCGATGAGTAGGGTCGGTTTTACGGGGTAGTGGAGCTCGTTCAGAAGTTTGGCCGTCCAGATCGCCGCTTTACAAGCCTCTGAGGCAGCGCTCCGCGACCATGGAGCCGGCGGAAACACAGCTCTGGCGCTGGCTACACCAGCCAATAGCTCCTTCTCCGAACTTGACCAGGAAGCCGTAAGTGCTCCGTCTGGTGGTCTCACACATAGCGAAATCTGCATCGCTGTAGACCTTGAGTTCGCGTGAACCGCCACTAGAGTAAAAGGGGCCGTGAGTCTTGGTTCTACTTAAGTATCTCAAGATGTGCAACCCCTGTTTCCACAACTGTTTCGTGAGGCAATCCAGGTACCTTGACAAGAAGCCTACTGCATAGGCTATATCCGCTCTTGTCGCAATTGCGAGGTGCATCAGCCGCCGACGAGAGAGCGGTACGGCAGAGACACATCGATCTCGCCATCGTAGGCGGATTTTGCACTGCTGTCAAGCGGCGTCTTGGCCGGCTTGCAAATCGTCGTACCAAATCTTTCCAACAAGTCGGCAACTGATAGATGTGGATAGTTCTAAGGTTGGGGAGATGTCTATGTGCAACCCCAAAAAGAATTCCAGTGGTTTGAACGTGATTTCAAGTGCCTTACCGAGTGCAATGAGGAATTCTTCAGCATCTTCTTTGCATTAGGCTCCCGTGATTCCATCATCGACATATAGAACTACCACAAGTCGTTTCGGTCCCTCGTACAAGAACATGCACGGGTCCGAGGTGCTCTGGTTCAATCCCAGCTCCCGGAAGCATTTCTTGATTTTGCTGTTAAATTCTTTCGGAGCTTGCTTCAACCCGTAACAAGCTTTCAGCAGCTCGCAAGCTCTCCCAGATCCGTCATCAAAACCTTCTGGCTGAGGGGTGTAAATTTCTTCTCTTAGATCTGAGTGCAAGAAGGCCGCAGCCACGTCGAATTGACATAGAGTCAGTGCCTCCTGTGCTGAGACCGCCAGGAGCGTTCTGATGGTTTCGAAACGAGCTACTGGGGCATACAGTCCCTGGAAGTCCCTTCCAGCGACCTGATTGTAGCCTTTAATCACAAAATGAGTGGCGGATAATTACCCCATTCTTATTCTCCTTCGTTTTGAAGATCCATCTATTGCCTATGGTGCGTTTTCCTTTAGGAAGTTCCGTGACTTCCCATACATTGTGATGCTTCATCGAAGCAATGAATGAAAAAAACCAAGAACAAAATGAAAAAGGTATCAGATGGTTAGGTATCAGATGCCCGAATCCCAGATGCCCGACTCCCAGATGCCCGATTCCCAGATGCGCGATTCCCAGATGCCCGACTCCTAAATGCGTGGGTTTAGCCCCCTCCCGATTCCGGAGCTTTCTGAGCCAAGAGGAAGTAAACCTTCTATGCGCTCGACTTAGCCTTCGAAGCTCTTCTCTGGAAATCCGTTTCCTCTCCTCCTTCCTCATCAAAGAACCATGTACAGTGGTGGTTCTCCTTTGACTGGGGAGTATCGATTTTGAGTCTCTACGATCTTGATGGTGCTTTCTACCGCCGAACTCATCAATGAGACTGATCCCATCCAGAGTCCGGATGCGGTTGAGATCACGTATAATTCCATGATACCTCAGTGAATTAGACCGAGACATGACAGAGACGAATATCCAGTAAAGCCAGTGAAGTTTCTCCGAGGTTTTGCCTCAGGAGCGGGTGGGTGGGTCTTTGGAATCGACCGATCGAAATTGAGCCATTGATTCTCTATGGGCAAAAAATAGAATACCGAGCTCGCCTCCTGGTATCTACGCATCGTATGTGGTCAGAAGTCGGCGCTGATTATCGAGAACCTTCGTCCGAGTTTCCATGATCGATGCTTGAGAATTCGAGAGCTTGCCATGTTCACAATGAGGGTCGAAGAGGTTCAGTCCTCCAACGGAAAGTCGCCTTTTCGGATCGATGGTGTCTTGTACGAGATCGAGAAACAGAAACAGTTCACGATGTATTGTCGCTGCGTTCTGAACCGCTGGCAGAGTTGTGCAGCGAGAGCTACACTCACGAAAGTGAGTACATTTGGCTGAGTATATTGAGGTTTCCATTGGACTCGCTGACTACCACCAAGCGCTCGCTGTCGATCTCACGGTTTCTGCTCCTTTGAGGGATCCTGAGCTCACGATCATCCGAGTTCGCGGAGAGCACTGTCACTTACCCGAAGACGCGAAATTCATTAAACTCAAGGCTTTGGAGTTGATGAAGGTTTCCTTGAAATCGAGAGCAGGGAGAGGAGTGAAGGAAGTATCCTCGGAAGTTTTGCCTCGCGTCGTGTCTGCCTTGCAGAGCGACTTCGCCCATGAAGAAATCGGCGTCTCAGTACCAAACTTTGATTCCGCCCGGAGTATTCTTCACCGAGGGCGAGTCGAAATGAGGGTACTATCTCGGAAGCCAGAATCGCAAAAGCCAGAATCGAAGAAGCCAGAATCGCCGGAGCCAGAATCGCAAAAGCCAGAATTCTCATAAGCCGGAATTCTCAAAAGCCGGAATTCTCATAAGCCAGAATTCTCAAAAGCCGGAATTCTCATAAGCCAGAATTCTCATAAGCCGGTGCTGCCCCGCATTCGAAGGAATGGACTTGGAGTTAACGATATTGGACTAGGTATGACTTCATTTCTCGCACAAATATTTCTCTGAAATCTGCATTATTACATTTCATCCTCTGATTATGATACGACAGAGATCTTAAATTAAAGCTCACGATCACAATTCTCAAGTCTTCAAGTTGAATCCGACGCAGTGAACATATTCCATCAAACTCTTCGCGCCGGATTCGAATTCGTCCGTCAGTCGAATAAGGCGGTCGTTGAGACTCTTGTACTTCGAGGAGAGCCTCGGTGGGGCTTGTCCTGCCTGGAGCAACAGTCTGTCCGCTCTCCCTTTATCTTCCTGTTTTTTCAGGAAGTTGATCAGTTGGAACAGGTTTACATGTTCTTTCCTGATCGTTCGACTCAACGCGCTATGCCACGCTTCGACGTGATTGGTTGTCCGAGCACCGAAGTTGCGGTAGTGATTCCACAAACTACGTGGAAACACCGACCCATTTTCCAACCAAGTATTGATTACATACTCCTTGAAAACTCCTACTCGTTCATACGCTGGATGATCCGCGGCCGGAGACTCTGCGTCGATTCCTAGCCAAGCGTCGTCAATTCTGTCCAACGGTACCAAGCTGAGGGCAAAACAGGACCGGATGAGTTTCTTGACCGACGGATCGTTGTAGTGAGAGACGAGACCAAGATGCTGAACTTTTCTCCAGAGACTCTGACTAAAATGAAAATTACAGCCTTTGATCTCCGACAGCGGGAATTCGAGTTGTATGGCTCTCAGGGTTGCCACTTCATAGTCTAGCTGGAATGTGCGAGGGGCAAACACCATGCCCTTCGCATCGGCATGATTCTTCAACAGACTAAACATCCTACGATAAGTCTCCTTGGTCTTGTCTGGGAGAAGGAAGAATACGAGCGGAAACATCTGACCCTTGTGGAAAGAATGAATGGTGTACAACTGTAAGAAGAGGTGGGGAACTACTTTGAACGTTCCGTCCATGAAAACAGTGGGCGATTCGCACAAGATACTAAACATTTCGTCGGTGCCGAACGCCAGGATTTTGTCCTCGAGGCCGTCGTCGAACAAGAGGAAATCTTCGTCGCTCAAAGTTTTCCCGTACAAGCCCTCAACGACAATGTCCGTTCGACTCTGAGGTAAAGCCGGTGTGAGCTTTGCGCGAGCCCGATACAAAGAGGCTCGCACAGAGTCGAATGTTGGCAGTGCTGCTCCTATCTGTTCATCTCGTAGAGACCACGCGAATTTCGCACTTCCTCGGCAAGAACCTCAGAATGAACTCGTTTAACACCTTTATCCTGTTTTTCGAGAACGGCATCCTTCATTTGAGCGGATGCCTGCCTCCTGATGAATTCGCCGGTGTCGGGTGCATGAGTATGCTCGCCAGTCTGCCTTTGGACCATCGGTTCTGGCCATCTCAATATAGTTATTCTTGCTGGACAGCCGTCCCTCCTTTGCTTGATGCATCTGCAGTAAGATGTCCTGCCACCAACCGTCTTCTCAACTTCATAAAGGTAGTTTTCCACGAAGAATTGGGGTTTCCCCTTCGCCGAGAGCACTTCCTTGACAGCCATGACACTCATATCGACTCTCGAGAAAGCGAAGATTTTGATCTACGATGGAAATCGGAACACAGGTTGGAGTGTACGGATCGATGCGATTATCAAGCAAAACCCAATGACAACAATGCGAAGCCCCACTGACAAGGTGTCGAACGACATCACTCTGGAAGCAACTTGTCACGTGTGCATCGCAATACTGTCCCTAAGATTTCGGCGACTGTCCCGGTTTCTGACGATTGCGAGCTATCCTGTGCTACTCAGGGCCAAAAGTAACCTTCCTCGAGCTCGACTCGAAGTTGTCGAGTTCCTCCCGAGCGACCTTGTCTCCGAGAAGAGACGTCGAGACTGGGAATCGACTATCGTGATTGAGATTCGAAATCGAACTGTCCGGGAAGACTACCAAGATTCGGAGATAGACAAACCCTGATTTACTGACTACTCTTTATTCTGCTCTTGGATCATTCTTCAACACATCACCGAGCTCAAACTCATCACTCAGATAATATTCACACAACACTACAGCTCATGGAACGACACAGCCTGTGTTATCAGCTGAAAGATGCAGCGGCCACTCTCGGTGCGACGTTCCGTCTCCTCTGAGATCCCAGAACATCACTTAAGCGACACCTCGCGCGTGCGCGTTCATCGTTCCAGAATCAAAAGCGTAGGCTTCGTTGCGCGTTGGAAGGCACCGTCAGGGCGACGGTCCATCCCGGCTTATGAGAATTCTGGCTCATGAGAATTCTGGCTTATGAGAATTCCGGCTTATAAGAATCCTGGCAAATGAGAATTCTGGCTTATGCGATTCTGGCTTCTGTGATTCTGGCTTCTGCGATTCTGGCTTCTGCGATTCTGGCTTCCGTGTCTGAACCGAAATGAGACCGAGGTTGCCGAAGACGAGGTCGGATATAAGGCTCGAAGGAAATTGGAGAGAGACTGTCGACGGTCGAGAGTTCCTTATCGTCGACGACGGCACCGAAAACCGAATCCTCGGTTTTTCGACCGCTGAGATGATGACTCATTTGTGCGAAGCGACTGTTGTTTACATGGACGGTACATTTCGTGTAGTACCCTGTCTCTTCAGTTGTATACGTTGCACGCTTTCTATCGAGGGGCGATGATACCATTCGCTTGCTTCTTGTTGCCCGACAAGCAGAAACAGACCTACTGCCGCATGTTTTCGTTGTTGAAAGACTATGCCGTATCGAAGGGTCTTGTATTCCATCCACAAGCATTTCAACCCGATTTTGAGGTCGCAGCTTTGTCTGCTATCAGAGAAACGTTCCCCGCAGTTGACTTGAAAGGCTGTAACTTTCATTTCGGGCAAACTCTGTGGCGCGAGGCGCAGCAACTCGGGCTGAGCCGATTTCATGATGACGTCGAAATAAGACAATTCCTCCGCGGTTGCGGAGCTTTGGCACAGGCTCCATTGTGGGCGATCGACGATGCGTGGATAGAACTGAATGAAGTTGCGCTGGCCCCCAATCATGCTGCGTACCCGGCTCTCGAAGAGTTTAAAGACTACTTTGTAAATACATGGTTAGAATCCGGTGCACAGTGGTTCAGAGGTGGAAATAACCTCGCGCAGGTGGCGCACTTGTTCCTTCTTGGACGTCTGACGTCTAGGGAGATAGCTGTAAGGATATCTCCGCCCGAAACCTCCCGATTCCCGGAAGATATATTATTTTTTTTTCCCGATGTCCATCCCCTCCTAAAATCTCCGAGAGTGATTTGATCTCACTTTTCGGAAGACATCAAGTTTCTAGCTATTTAGCTTCGCTTCTATATCCTCTGCTATGAGAAGCTTGTGACTTGTGACAGCACATTTGAATGCTCGGAACAATCTTGGAGGCATCATATGTATTCGTTTCGTCAGTTTCGAACACTGAAGCCACCAAGACTAGCCATGGTGCAACTTTCTGTGACAAATAGGGAGTTGATGGAGGTAGCCATACTCTGCGAGACATTTTGCCTCGGAGACGTGTTGAAATCATGCGATCGGGCCGAAGGGTGGCGGAATCGGTCAGACCTGGTCGGGCGCTTCTCCCAGTCAAACTTCGAGACATGGTGACATGGTGATAAAAAGCGTTCGCTGACACCATTTAGAGTGGGAGTATAAGGCGGTGAATAACTAATTTCCGCGTCTATCCTATCCATAATTTCGGCAACTCTCTGATTCCTCAATACTTCTCCTTCATCTGATTTGAAGTGATAGATATCATGACTGGTCTGATTCTTGAACCATCGATCAATCTGGCACTCGGGCCTTGGATTGGACAAAGTAGACTTTCTTATATCGACTCATGTCATCACTTAGTTAGAGTCAAGAAGTAGTAAGCACCGCCATGTAGTCGGGATGTATCTTGAAGAGCAATACGATGTTGTCACGTTTGACAATCCGGCAGAGGCGCTTTTCACGTTCCCTCAAACGAAAAATGTGAAATGTGTGGACGCGGCCATTTGGTACCTATGGAACGTGGTGGTGAAGAGAATGTCCTGGGACACACTTAAATCGTCGCTGAGGGAGGAGACCATGCCGACTATAACGTCGCTCGCTAAATTCCTAGAAGGGAAATACAGAAAGTCGATCGGAGTCTCCCCCTCAGCGACTAAAGACATCTGGGACCCAATGCAGCACGAGAAAGAGCACAATTTCTCACGTTTTTGCACGTGCGTTGCATTGTACGTAGCTGGATTTTCTTCGAGAGGAGAGATCTCAAAACAGAACCAAATCTCGAAAGGGATGAATACGATCATTGCCCTTGCCGGGTCGATGGACCAAGTGCCGGGAATCGATTTCAAATTCCTGCGCCAAATCCGAGCTGTCAGCGAAACGCACTGGCTGCGCTCGTGTTCATGAAAGGGTCAGATCTGGGCTCTCAATATGACAGTGCGCTATTATTTGGGATTTATTGTCCGATCTGCAAGTACCTTCTTGAGAAGGTTCATGGAGTTTGAAACCACATATCCGGGCGCATTGAGGGATCCAAAGCGAACTTTTGCCAGCACTCATGATGTTGGATCGTTCATCATAGCGCTGAACACCCTGGGCCACGATCTCAAGGAGGCCAGGACGAAGAACATCGAATGTCAGCTGTGGGCCACCCGTATCATCTGCCCTGGAACCCTCAACTATTTGAACGACATGTCCCGATCAAATCCCCAACAAATTGGCGAAGGCGATTCTAAGGCAACCGAATGTCTCTTCCAGTGCCTGGCGATCCAAGTCCAGAGAGGCGATTCCGCAGCCGTTGTTGGTTCGCCGGGAGGGCAGGGGTGTCAAAAACGTGTCCCGCGAGACACAAGTGGCCCGCAAGATCTTTTCCCGTGACCCGCGATTGATCCTTAGGAATTTCCGGGGATCATTGCTGTGTCGATGAGTTATAGATAGCTCAGATATATTTGGAAGATCCCGCCGTCTAGGGCGACATGTGTGCATCTCTGGTGAATAAACCTTGCGAAATCAGTTAGTGCTGAGTCTCCGCCGAGCCAACCACGTTCTCACTACATTGGCGCAGTCGAAAAGAAGCGAAGAAAACGGGAACTGTTGAGTCCCGACTTCGTGATTTCTGCGCCGCGGCAGAAGTCTGACCCAATAAAAAGGCGGCCATTTCTGCCACGGGGACCTTCCTCCCCGAGCCGTCACTTAGTACAGTCGTGGTGTCTCTTCGCTATACCGAGTCAGCATTCTTGGTCGATCCCCAGACCCAACAGAAACGGTGCTGCCACCACCTTCCCTGGAAGAAGCCGGGGAACCCCCGATGTCATTCGATGAGTGGTACGAGATCTTCTCGACACATTTGATCGCCAGAGGAGGCGAAGATTTTCCCGACGCCAGGAAGCGCGCCACGTTGATCAACTGCCTGGGGCTGGAAGGCCAGCGACAGTTTGCCGCTACAAGACGGGCGCCACTCAGCAGACCGGTAAGCGAAAGCAGTCAAATCAAGGAATTCGATGACGCCGTCCAACGCTTAAACGATCGATTTGTTGAGAAAAAGTCGAAAGTGACCAAGCGGATCGACTTCTTCGCAAGAGCACAAGCTCCGGGAGAATCTGTGGCGACGTTCGAGAGCGGCCTGCGGCGGTTGGCCGCGAGAGCCGAAATCTCGAAGTAGGATCAAGCAGTGTTGGACCAGTTGATAGCAAGAACCGCCGACGCGGAGATCCGGGAACGACTCTTGCAGGAAGGCGACGGACTGAATTTGGTGAGTGCGATCGAGATGGCTACGAGGCTAGAAACAGCGGCAGCAGAGTCGAAGCGGCTTACCGACGCAATACGAACGGCTGCCCAAGTTTCGGCTGCACTCGAGGGCTGCTGGAAAGTGGAGCCCGTTGAACGAACCCGGAGGCCCGGAGGAGAGGAAAAAGGTCAGCGGAAACCCAGCCCGAGACCGCGGAACCGCTTGAGATGTTGGAATTGTGACACCGAGGGACATCCGGCTGGCCCATGTAATCGGAGGAACATCAGAACAGTCGACACCATGGAGGACGAAGGGGAACTAGTCGAGGAGCAGGAGACCCACGGCTATCCATGAGCAACTGACCGCCGTGGATGGAATCTTGATGAGGGAAGACAAGGTCGTTCTTCCATCGTCACTGAGGTCCGCGGTGATCGGGGCGGCTCACGGAAGCAGTCATCAAGGGATCGTACGAGCTAGAAGCGCAATTAGGTAATGGTACTGGTGGCCACGAATGGACGCAGAAGTGGAGGATTACATAACAAAACGTCGAGTATTCAAAGACCACGATAAGTCAGCGAAATTAGAGCGACCTTTAGCCCAGGTGGTCGAATTCCCTCAACACATCCAAATCTAATAGTCTCCTTTTTCTACAACCAGACCGAAACAGTAACAGCGCACGGAATCTGGACTCGAACAAAAGCTAGATTTTCTAGACACTCTCGGATTGTAGAGGATGTGGCTATCTCTCATTACATGGCATTCAGGTTTGCTTAGAACAAGACGGTAGATGAGAATCTCACCGTCTTCAGGAATTTGCCAGATCATCTGACTCAGACAGGA